ACTGATTAATGTGGGCCGACCAATTGAGTTTGTTATCCAATGTAATACCAAGTAATTTTACGTTTTTTGTTTCACATTTTGAGATAATTTGATTATTGGCAGATATCTGCATATTTTGAGTTTTAATTTGTTGGTTGAGAACCATGTGTTTGCTTTGTCTGCAATTTCATCAAACGAAGAAATTAAATTTTTATTATTTTTGTCTGTTAAGATGAGTGTTGTATCATCAGCAAATAAAACTGATTTATTAGGTAGCATAAAACGTCTTAGATCGTTAACATTAACAGTGAATAAAAGGAGTCCCAGGACAGAACCTTGTGGAACCCCTTGCCTTACAGCCTGAAAGTCAGACAGAACACCATTACTTATCACAGCTTGTTGTCTGTTACTGATATATGATTTTATTAGTGCAAGCGGAATTCCCCTAACTCCATAAGCTTAACTTTTCCAGAAGAATATCATGAGACGCAGTCGAAAGCTTTTGACACATCGCACAACATTACTGCTGTGTGATTTCCCTGCTCAAGTTTCTCAACTACATCATTCACAACATTGAGAACAGCCTGTGTAGTAGAGCGAGAGCGTCTAAAACCATATTGGGAGTTGCTGAAGAAGTTGTTTAATTCAAAATACTAACATAATTGTTTTTTAATAATTTTTTCAATAACTTTACCAAATATTGAAACAATACTTATGGGACGATAGTTATCAATTTTCGAGACATCACCTTTTTTGAAAATTGGTAATACTTTAGAATATTTAAGTACTTCAGAAAATATACCAGTGGATAATGTCAACACGTATAGAATTTTTTAGAGAAGTAATTGCGTCAAAAACTTCAGACTCAAGAACAGGGCGGAAGAAAAATGAGCTACAGGGCAAAGGAAAATGTTTAAAACTCAGAAGTTCAAATAAAAGTTACTTCTAATATTATTGTCTATAATTTTTGTTCTATACAAAATTTTCCTAAAATGGTCCGTATTCGAGAAATTTGACAAAATGTAAAAAAAATAATTTTTTATAAAAATTGATTAAATAAAAGTTGTTTGTAATATAATTCTCTATAATTTTTATCCTACACTTAATTTCTCTAAAATGGACCGTATTCGAGATATTTGAAAAAATGTATAAATTTTGAATTTTGAAGAAAACTCAAAAACGGATAAAGAAAAAACATTAAATTTTAAACTTAAGTTTTATTTCGGCCTGACGTGAAATGATTAGATTTTGGACAAAGTCGGAACATCTGTGGGGGTACTTTATGGGAGGCCGTTTTTATATTTTATGGAATATATGTTATTTATGTTTGGAGAAGAAAAATGTTCAAATAAAAGTTACTTCTAATATTATTATCTATAATTTTTGCTTTATGTCAAAATTTCCTGAAATGGTCTGTATTCGAGAAATTTGACAAAATGTACAAAATTCTGATTTTTATGAAAATTGTTGAACAAAGTTGTTTGCGATATCGATCTCTATAATTTTTGATTATACATGACTTTTCTAAAATGGACCGTAATGGAAAAATTGTAGGAAAAGTGCTAAATTTAAATTTTTCAGTATTTTCGTTTTCAATGAATATCTATAGAAAAATGTTTCGAGGTAGATGTATATGGAAAACGTATATATTTAGTTTATCCTCTAAACATTTATAGAGGTGCTGCAATAGGTTGTACAAAATAACCGGGAAAAGCCTATAATAACTAGATAGGAAAGTCATGTGTTGAACACATCAGATTTTTTATAATAAAACTTTTATACTTGAGACTTTTATAATTTTATATTTAAATGCAGAACATTACCAAATGTGTAATCATTAGGTGAAATACAAATAAACGCATTAATAATGCCTAATAACACTTATGGCTAATTTTAAGTCTTATTTAAGGTGCAATTTCGAAAAAAACATTCAAATGAAATAAAACTAGAAGCAAATAAAAAGAAATATTGGATTAGATTTTTTTACCAACAAATTTGTTCCATTGCACAATAAAGCGTAGAAACTAATATTGTTATTGTGGAGTTGTCTTCTTGCAAGATATTGATGCTATTTTCAACAAAATTGCGCAATGAAAAACCAGTAAAACGGCTTTACGATGAATTTTTTCTCAGTTGTATAATTATTTTTTAGACACTCTGTATCAGAACGGGATCAAAAGCTAATAATGATTTTTATCAAACGACTCTCGTATTGTACAACAATATCGATTAAAAATTTCGATCGAATAAAAATCTTTTCAAAATAATCTTTTGAAATCAGTTAATAGGAAAAGAAAAACTACGACAATAACATAAATGAATTGAGGGAAGTTGAAAACTTTCTAAATAACCCTAAACAGCTCCAACTATAAATGATATATCATTAATCTGAAAATGCTACCCCAAAGTTCGTAATCGTAATATATCCAAAGATATATTATTTCAAAACTCGGAACACTTAAGACAGTTTCAGCATTTGCATGATGAATATTCCATGTCGAAATAACTCGTTTATATATCAATAATTTATTGAAATTTAAACTTTGTTGGCGTAGTAGATAATTTGTTCTCGGCTGATCGTTATTGGAATATACCATTAAAGGTGGACTCATGCAACTTATGACTTGTGGAATAAATTAATTGCAATTAGCTTATAAAAAGGTGTTGAACCATTTTTACTGTTCATTCTTGCAAATAAAGAAATAAGTAAATTTATATTTGCATATTCACAGTATGTAGGCAATTAAAAAAATTGACAATTGGAATATCAAATTTAATCGATATACAGGGTGATACGGATTTAATTTTTCTAGTCTTCAGGTATTTCGTCAATAAGCAGAGCTATATGGTCAGTTACGTGGAAAAAACGTGGGTATTTCAAAAACTAGCTTAATGATACCCCAGTATATATACCAATCAGTATTGGCACTCTGAGGCGGCACGTTTGATCTTTAAAAGTAAAAATTTTAGTTGACACTTGACGTTTTTGGAATATGAAAAGTTTTCTTTACACGGACTTGGTATACCTGGTTAGTTGAATTTTTGTTCTGCTGCTTTTTAAATTCGTGTGTATGAGGGAGAGTGAGATACCTTTATAGACAACGGTTGAACAACTTAATTACTTTGAAGAAGAAAATAGATTAGATATCAGGGCAGTCTTCGCAAATGTAAGAAGGACACAACCGTTTTAAATTTTTTTTATATATGTGAAATATTACTTTTTGGTGAAAAGTTTAATTACTTTTAGTTCAAAATATAACGTTAGTTTGTCAAGGGAAATATATAACACACAAGGTTAGAGTAACAAAATAGAGGTATTGCTTTATTTCTTAAGAATTACTCTACACACAGAATTGTTTGAAAGCAGCCATAAGGTATAATTTATTTATTGGATTTTTTGTTACTTGGGTTTCTTAGATTAATCTTTGCCGCATTAACATTTATATAGTCAATCAATTCACAATCTTTGTACTTAAAATAGAGTACAAAAAATATCACAGCCTGTTGCTTTCTTCTTTGTAAAAGAGACTTAATCTTAAAACTATCGAGCATAGTTTTATACGAGATCTTAGGTATAAGGGTACAAGTATTTTTTATGACATAAAGGTACCGTAAAAATATTTTTTGTACTTTTTCAATATGATCAATTTGTGTGGCTTCCAAGGGCATCCATATTTGTGAAACATACTCAAGATGAAGTCTTACTACTGGTTATTGAACTTCAAATTAGACTGAAAGACAACTCCCAAATCCTTTACCTCATATTCACGATTTAATGTGACATCACAGGTCTTATTTCTAATGTAAAACATTAAGAGGCTATGGTCTTGCTGTACCTTTATTTATGGAAAGCCTGAATTGAGGTACACTACAAATTATTTGCAGTAAATATCAAAAGAAGTATACATTTTTAAATAATGTCACAATTATTCCTTAAATTGAATTAATCTCAAGAAGCTCAGATTAACTTCTTGGTTTAGAAGGAATCTGCGCCACTTAAGATGAACCTCGGGTGACTTAAATTACCGTATAGTGAACTAAACTAGTAATAATAGAAATACCATGTATAAAAAACTAACAAACACTTTATTAAATGTCCGTAATTAAAAGACTCAAAATAGATATAATACAAAATAGATATAATAATAAAATTTGGGGTCCCTACCTCATTTTTAGGTTGCAGTCACAATTTTTATTTTATCCCCAAAAATATTTGCTTATTTTATATAATTATATTTTTTATCTTATAAATCCCAATTATTTACCCAGTGATCGATCGCGACCACCTTTTTCGCTGTCCCGCAGTCAGTAAATTTGATGAAGGTGTTTTTGTGGCTAGGGGCGAAATAGTAGTACGCTTAAGGTACCATTTCGGTAGGCGCGACAGACGACCGCCGACGCGACCGAGATTGTAAATTTTTTGTATAAAAACGGTCTTGTTTTAAAAAACTTAAATTAATCTTTATGTTAATGCTTAAAACTAAATCAGGCTGACTAAACGCACCTTAAGATGTGCGTTCACTTCGACATTCTATGTGTTGGTTTGTTCGTTGGCTTGGTTCTGTATAACAAACAAAACTTTGATAGAAGCTGATTGGTCTATTCCCGATGACGTACACATTTCAAATTTTAAAAACTTTTGGCTTTTTTACCAAACTGATTATTTAGAATAACTTGTATAGTGACTTACTATTACAATAAAATTTAGAAAACAGCATATCTCACATCTAAACATGGCCCATTAATGGAGAATTGCGAGGAAACAGGTTTGGGTGTTGACAGGTTCCTCTTATAGGATTTGTGAACAAAACTGCAATATCTATCTTTAACGATACTATATGAATAAACATTTGTTAAGAATTAACAAAAGCTGTTAAAAGTATATATTTATGCGCTTTATAATTTTGAATAAAATACGAAAGAGTGCAAAAATTATTAAAAATATAAGTGCCTACAAAATCACACAATAAGAATTGGAGTATTAAATATCTACTAAATAAAAAAAGGTTAAAAATACATACCGGTATGGATGTAGGTGTGTTTTTTCATATCGGATTTTTGATGAAACCTTTTCCCGCAGTACTGGCACGGGTACGGCCTTGTGTCCGAATGAATGAGCAGGTGGGTGGAGAGGGTGGAGGAACGTTTGAACGATTTACCGCATTGCTGACACTGAAACAAACAATAAATTTTAATCATAAATTAAGTGTTGCAACTAAATATGGTGGTACGATCGATTGGATTTAATTGTGTGCATATTCATAGACAATGAATGGAAAGGTGTAGGAAGGTATTTTAACTATTTAAAAAGGTGTTCTGGGATAAAAAATTGTGTCAATGGTTCTGTGTTGATATTGTTTTATTGACACTAAATCCTTAATGTTAAAGTTGACGAAATTTTTATTGTGAAGAAATAATAGTGTAGTCAAGGCGATAAAATAGAAATTCATTTTCATATTAAGGTTTGTGTCTGACACACAAGGAATTGCATTTCGCGCCAGGAAAAAATGGGTGTAACTTTCCGCAAAGTAGGTGTCCAGGAACGTGGTGGTCCCCGGCAACTTAAAAATTTCTAACCATCGACGAATAGTTTTCTACTTCTGCTTTCAAGCCTCCGGCTGACAAGAAATTTGCATGAGCAGGCCCGGAATTAGTATCGTTTTAGGAAGAAATTTGAAAAAATTATTTCTAGTTTGTAAGTTACCTTTCATGTCATAAAAAGTTGAAATTAAAGTATGCTAAAATACAAATAAACCAGTTTAACTTTCTTAGCAAAAATCAAACAATCTAAACAAGCGCTTAAAGAATACAAACTTTGGAATGCATCAACTTATATAAATCAAATTTTGTATGTATAGGTATGCATATTGCCTTAGATAAAAGAAACAACAGATGATGCTTTTCAATTAAAGTATGTTTTGTTGGTCCCAATCATCGGAAAAGAGAAAGTAGATATTTTATGCGGATCGAAAGACAGACTGTAATCGAATATCTCGTCTGGCAACGCTGCTGTTGTACGCAACTAAAAGAGAAAATCAAAGTATGTGACTAAAAGTCTGTTGATACCAGTGGCGTATCTTATTAAAGATAAAATCATAACTAATTATAAAAAAATAATGAAATACTAACCGATATGGTGTGCAATAAACTTTATAATGGTTTAAACTTAAAAATTGGATTTGGTATAAGGGTATGAAATTCAATGGAATGTAGGTAAAAAGCTTAAAAACACTTTTTTTTTCCAAGAATAATACATTTATTATATATAAAGATGTTAAATAAAATAAAATAAAAACAAGATAAATAAATCAAGATTTATTTTAAACAAATTTACAAATTCAATTTTGTGGTTAATATTTGAACAGTTTTACAAATTGGTAAATAAGAGATTTTTAAATCAAAATTTACATTTTTAACACTACTAAATTTATAAAAGGTATTAAATTAATAAATTTACCATACTTACATACAAGGTGGGGATTTTAAATGGAACGCTTCTTATAGCGGATCTCGTAATAAGAATTTTGTAAAATCCGAAAACACGTAGAACAGTACAACAATAAACCTATCCATTGATAGTTTTTAACTTGTAAAACTAGGTAGTAAACTAACTTACTTATTATCATCCATAAATGTGTGCGGCATAGAAAAATTATCTTCTGGTTTCTTACTAGAGCTGTCAAAAATACTGATACTGGAATCAGAGCTGTAACACAGTATTCAGAACTTTTAATGTACAGGTAAGTTTACATTTTGAATAATAATAATAAGGTAGTTCATGAAAATAATCAAAGAAAGAGGCATATAATATGAGTTTATAAAAAAGTTTGTCCTTGTTAAGCACCTATAAAATTTAAAGAACTTACAATATAAAAATTTCTTTGCAAGATAAACTACTAACTTTCATCTTAAATGAACATTTCCGAAACATAATTAAGAAAGTTTTTAGTTACCTAAATGAGCTTTCTCGAAACAATGAACTTAGTTTTGGCAGTGCTCCAGACCTGGGATATTTGATTTTTGAAGAATATCATTAGGATCAAAATGCTCCGAGCATAACACTCTTTTTTAGATACCTTCATTTTCTTCAAGTCCTACAAGTGATAGCCAAATATTTCTTGTATGCCTTTCGGTTGGAAATCTAAAAATCAAGCATAAGCATATTTATTTTACCACTATAGTCCAGACTAAAGTGTTTCTATTAATTACAATTTTTTGCGAAATTAATAATGTTGAAAGATCAAAGAAAATAATAGTAATACAAAAGTAGATAATACATGTGATATTACGGCAAAAATCTTTAAATCTACACCTCTGAACTATGCAATACATCATCACCTAACCTTACTTACTTATGAAAAGATACTTCAGCACCCACATTTTCCAGTTTTTTGCTCAAAATGCACTCGCGAACCATATTGTTAGCTATACAAAATTCGAAATTTTTCCAAAAACGTCTAAAAATTAACAAAAACACCCAATATGCAACAATTTACTGGATCGCAACGTCGCAAACTATCGATGGATAAAATCTGAAAAAATACTATACGTAACGTCCGTGACCTATAGTATGAAAGAAACGAAGTTATTTTAAATTGCAGTGGTGTCACAAAATCTTGAAGTCCCCAATTAGTCAGCTTCTCTGTGTAATCCATTGGAAAGCGAACACAACTTATGCACAATTATTACGATTTGCCAACGTAACGGATGAACTTTGCTGGCAGCTAGGATAATTATTAATTATAACTAAAATCACAAATCAATCACCGGCTTGATCTTGTCTGTGTCTCCGATATACCGGGAACGGACTGAACGGAGTACGCCGAATACACGAACATTTTCTCGAGCACAGACGAAAAAGCTCTCGATCGAAACCCATCGTTATTTTCTAAAGATATTTTTTATTGGACTTAAAAAGCAAATTGTTATGATGGAAAATATACGTATTAATATTTTGAATTTCTACTACAGAAAGTAAATGTTTAGTAATTAAAAACTATTTTTAAGAGCAAAAATTATTTTTGCTGGTTCTATAGACTGAAAAAAAAATATTTGCAAAGGTAACAATTTTTTTTGTATGGCGACAAAACTACCTTAGCATTTTATTTAGTTGCATGAATGTATTTTTTTAATTGTAGCTGAAAATTTATTTGTGGTACAAGAAATTTCTCAACAAAAAACTTTTTAAAAATAATTCTCTCAGTGCATAAACGAACAATGTAGTTATGAATAACATAAAAAAATCTGACTTGAAACCATACTAAACCCATTTAATGAGGCAAAGGAACAAAGATTAAAAATAAGGACTGACTTTTATAAAAAAACCTTTCAAGAAAATCAAAAGAAAAGTTAAAAACCATCAAGCTAATGATAGCAAATGTACACCATTGTAAATCATAGTCAAAGTCGAGTAACGATCGTTCTTTCTTGTACTAATGTCTCTATAAATAATGCACTTCAATTTAATCGTAAAATAGTACTCATTAAATCTAAGCATATATTTCTTCTCGTTTAACATGCTCAATATTTTATGAAGTTTCATGACTTAAACTACTTTGTATCGATTACGATTGTCTTTTACCCACAAGAATCAATTATTTCCACTATAATTATTAGTATGGACAGGGCCGACTTCCAGATTGAAATTGAAATATAAATTGACGCTGAAATCTTGACAGATGATATACATAACAAGGTGTAGGGTGTAGCGTTACACATCTAGAAATAGAGGAGAAGGTCCGAATATGGGCCACATTTTGTTTTTTGAAAATATTTTTAGTTTTTTTCGACTAATTAACCTGTAACTTGGGAAATTAATTACTAGGAGCATTTACTTCATAGTTATAAACACATTTATGAAAAAATCGTTATCATTAGTTCTGTGTTTTTTAACATACAAAAGTGTAAATTTTTAAGATTTGTGTAAAGTGCTTGAAATATGAGCTACCCTATAAAAGTAACAAAAAGTCTTCTTAAACCGTAAAAAAAATAAAAAAAAAGAGGTAAATAAAACAAGGGTGGTCCTTAAGATCTCACAAGAGTAATTTAATACGACCGGTTTCGAGGAGATCAGATCCTCATCATCAGGTATGGTCCGTATTATTCATCTATTTAAGACTAAGCTTAGAGATTATCACAGGGTCGGTGTGAAAAACAAGTATGCGAGTATTTTTAAGAAATGCATAAAAACAGTAGTTGCAACAAAAAGTTGATGTCAAAACACAAGTAGGTCTAAAACTATTAATTAAAATTATTAAAATATTTCACGAACGGACAGACATTAAGACAAAACAAATTTAAAACTTTTTTAAACCCTACAAGAACTGAATGGGTTCTTAGACAACATGTTGAAGTAAAAAGACAAATGGTTTTTCACTTTAAAAGTCTGAATCAGAAAAAAGGATCAACCAGTTAATTTAATATACTCGATGAGAAATTTTACCTAAGAAATGAATAACATTTAAATAGTTTACCTATATAAATAGTTTACCTATATAAAGTTATGTTTGCCTGTAATTATCAATCGTGTTGCCTTTTAACCTAGATCGTTTGTTGCATACAAACCAGAAATCTTTTATTTTAATGACATTTTTTATTGCCTTGTTTGTATAATTTAGTATTTTCAAAAATTTTTCATAAATTGTGATTTTGATTAGGCCTTTAGCACATCCCACATATTTACATGATCTGGCTAATCAATCCTATAAGTACATATCAAAACATTAATATACTATCTACAATCATTTGAAAATACAGATGAAGTCGATTTACCTATTTAGACAAAATACTATTATTCTGTTATTTATTAAAACACACTATTTTTTTAGTGAACATGGACATGCAAAAGTCTGCCATAAGGGTATAGGAAAGAGTGAGAGCAAGAATACTTTGGAATGTGCTGTGAAATACACTTAGAAAGGGTCATATGAAAAATTAAGTGTGATAACATTTTACGATGTGTATCTCACTAGTTTAGTTTACAGATTTATGTAAATGTTCAGTTATGTGCTGCTATTTCTAACTTTTAGTATCCTTTGATAAAGTAAGTTGAATATTATTGATCTTTTTAAATTGTTAATTTTACCTTATACATTTTTTTCTACTCTTCATACAATATTATGTGAAGAGTATTATAGGTTTACTTTGTCTGTCTGTCCGATGTCACGTTTTTT